GTCAAACCACATCATTCCTCCCACCCTACGTAATTGGAACCTACTTCAAAGGTGTTTGGGTGCTGGCAATATGATATTCCAAATCTGGGTATGGCCTATTCGTAACTCCCTGTCAGAACCACCATCATGGCTAAGTTCTATGAATCCATATCCTTACCTCACTTCTTTACTTTTAATATCAGAGAACATTTTCCCTCCAATACCTAACAAGTTCCACAAGGTTCACTGACCTCTGTACCCACATTGCCTCATACCCATTCATCCACCATTTCTACTATTCATGATGGATACTTTCCTCCCCTATCTGAGCTATAACAAATTTGGGGATTAAAAATGTGCTACAAAATGGACACACAGCAAATAATGATGTCCAAGAGACAAACCCTTTAGCCTGGCATTCAAAATCCTCTGTCATCAACTGGGCCTACTCAACATAGTCACTCTTACCTCCCATTACTTTTTCTCACGAATTCAGATCAGAAGAATGTTTGGTGGCTATAGATTTTAAGCAGAGTCAGTCTTATGCCAGTAGGAGAAAGCATTGTCAAGCTGGTGCTTCCTTCTCCACTTTAGGGGCGGCTCCACCATTTGAAAAACAAGTCGGGACATTCTCTCACCTGGCTAGTGCAGGTGAAACAGTGATAAAGTTGTATTTTCCAAACCTGCCCCTCTCTCTCTGTCTCTCTGTCTCTTTCTCTTTCTGTCTCTCTGTCTCTCTTTTTTCTATGAAAATCGCCAACATTCTACGTGTATTCATCATTACACTGTCACACTTGGTCATGTCAAGACTTTTGTAACATAACTATACTTCCCAAGTTTTTTTTATTGTTTTTTAAAATAAATTCTTCTTGATTTCTTTTGATGGTTTTATATAAGCATAATTTTCCCCAATAATCTTTCCCTTTCTGCTCCCAGAAAGAGTCATCCCATAAAACAAATAGTATTTTAAACGGGGGGCATAGGAGGAATCAGCACAACTTATCAATATAATGAAAAGTCCAAAAACATGTACAATATGCAACACCTGTGGACCTCCCACCTCTTCAAGGGGGTAAGTTGAGGGTGTCCTCTCATTTCTCTTCTTTTGAATCAGTATGCAGATTATTATTCATTGATTACATTTTAGCAGTCTATCATATTGGAGTTCAATTTTAGGTCAGCTGCTTCTTTGTGACATTTTGAGAAGCAGTAAGTTTCCTCCATATCATGTTGTTACCATCTCTTGTCCATATTATATTTGTCCACTGACTACATTCCTCTTTATGCATCTTTTAAATGTCATTTTAGAGGCCAACAGAGAGAAAAAGGGAATGACACTGGTCCCAAGGAAACCCATTTGTTATGATGAGCCCTGTTGCTAAATTTTAGCATTCAATTTAGAAGCCTTTACATGCTAGCCCTGTAAAACTGAATTCTAGAACTGCTCCAACTCTCTCTGTGGGCCTAAGGAACAATTCAGAAAGGAGCCTCTCTTTTCCCCGTTTGCTTTGAACAAACTTTGTGTAAAGATCCAGTGATATTTCTTCTGAGCTATCTGCCCCAGCTATTGTTTTCTTAATTTTGAAAAACTTGCTGAGAATTGCAGAGTTGTTTCAGTGAGGTTTTTTTTTCTTTTTGTTAAGTGTAAAGGTTACATACAAATTATTAGCTGTCATTTGCTTATTATTTTCCATAAAATTCTGAGCACAGGAATCCAGTGGGGGAAAATCAGCAGGTGTCGTCTGTTGAAAAATATTTTAAAGAGAAAACTGTAAGCATTATTTATAATTAGTATAATTAGCTTCAGTGTTTATATTGCTTTTCCTGAACGGGCCCAAGATTGTTCCATGTTCAAAGGAATATGATAGTTTTAAGGGGATATTTGTTAATTGTTGACATTCTTTTCTCTGTCTACCAGAGAAGTTGGTGCATATTTTAGGCAGAAGACAGAACAGGTCTGGCATTTATTTTCACCAGATTTTGTTATTACATTTGTCTCACAGCTTTAAAATAGTAGCAAATATGTGCAATTTATTTAAACAACACAAGAGAAATTAATGCCATGAGAATTCATCTTAAGCAAATGAAGATAAAGCAGCTCTCTCCATTTCTATGCAGTTGCATTAAGGCCTTTCAGAGATTCTGAGGAGCAACTTTCCAGCTTGTGTGGGTGCTACTGCAGATTCACACTCTCAGGAGAGACAAATCAGGTCATCTCTGCCATCTCTCCTGCTGACAAATATTCTATAAAACTGAAGAAGGCTGGTGCTATAGCACTATCGCCAGGGCTATTAGGCTAATTCTGAAGCTTTGGGATTTGTATTCATTCCAGGGTCATTTTTGGTTCAGATTCATTTTGTTGTGTACATTCCACAAAGCAAGAATTGTTTGGCTTTGATGTAAGAATCATCCTCTCAGTGACCCATTTAAGCAATGAAAATTAACTCACATCCATTCTCTTAAACCAATATTCCTGGGAGGGAGACACATTTACGTCTTTTTTGTAAGGTGGAGAGGCTCCTGAGGCAAAGAATCTTCCAAGTTTGGAGGAGTCTTCGAAAAGTTCACTCACAGGTTCTTGTACTCTCCTTATTGTATCCTTTTATATTCAAACCATGAATAATACCACTGGTCATTATTTTAAAAAAGTCAATTTTCTTCTATCTCATCCCAGCAATGGCATTTTTTCCTATGGTATCATGAATCTGCATTAGATATTGACAAATTTAGAAATAGAATGGTCTATGATAAAGAACCCTGGGAGCTTAGAGTCCTAATTTCTAATCTTATCTCTGTCATTTACTTGTTTTATTACTACAAGAAACTCATCTTTTTCCTTCAGTTTCCCCTTCTGTTAAACGATGATAATATCTACCCAGCCTACCATATGATCATAAGATCCTAGTATCATAGGATTATAAATTTAGTGTTGAAAGAGACCCCAAAGACCATTGAATCTAACCGTTTCATTTTGCAGATGGAGAAAATAAGGCACAAAGAGGTTAAATGGCATTCCCATACAGCTAGTGTCTTAGGTGAGAAATGAACCTAGGTCTTCCTGATTGCAAGGCCAATTACCTTTCCATTTCCCTCGTGTTGCCTCTTACCCTAAAGATTACTGAGAGAAGCAAATAAGATAAGATGTATAAAATCACTTGATAATCATAAAGCATTAGGTAAATGGGAAGGTGTATTATTTGATATTCCTCTTCCTTCCCCACTTCTCTTTTATTACCAATGAAGAACTTCAGCTAACAAATATTTCTGTTGCTCTCATAACCCCAGGGTAATACATAGAGCCACATCACAGATGCTTCCTGGTGCCTTTTGTGCTTACATTATGGTCATTTCTGGCTAGAATCCCTTCTTTCTTACATCTGCCTGTGAATTGAGCCCTACTGAATAACAAAGAAAACCAAGTAAGCAGAAAAAAAATATAAAGACAGTCACCATGTCTGAAAATGTATACAACATTCTGCTCCTGTGGTTCCACACTTCTCTGTCAAGAGGAGGGATATTTCAAGTGTCCTTTTCAGGTGGTTGTCCCCAAACTCTATGATTACTGGGTATGATGCTGCAACTTCTGGTACATCCCTGGTGGGAAAGGACTTTGTAGGAGATTCACTTGTCAGGATTTGCCACTAAAACATCTAACAAGAATATCAAATGATCTTAGAAAAGTGATTTTCTTGATTCTCATTTGACTGTAAACATCTTTAGAGCATTTGCCATACCTTTAGGGTGGAAAAAGATATGAGAAGCAGTGCAACTATAATCTGTAGTGTAGAAAAAAGCACATTGTAGAGAAGAGGTAACACTGCTTCTCAAATTAGATACAGTGAGTTCACAGAACAGGCTAGAAATGTATTTTACTCCACTTAGTTACTCTAAGGATCTTGGTGATTAATCATTAGGCAATGTCTATTAATCCTTCTTTAAAGAGGTATTTGTATAATGTCATATTTCCCTAGAAATTAAGGGCACCATGAAGGATACACAAGTCCAGCTCATCCTTTACAATCCAGGGGTGATAATGACCTATGGGAAACCTTTCAGTTCTTTATGCTCTTTAATTAGTAATCACTGTAAATTTTAACATGAAGACTCAGTGAGGGATTCAAAATGAAAAAAAAATACATCTGAAAGCTTGGATATTAGCTAGGGTAGATGTGAATTATCTGGGGAGAATTCTCAATTGATGCCTTTGTAAGTATGTATATTGTTAAAGTACTTTTTGGCTGAATTACTGGGGCTATTTTGTCCATGTAGACTTAAGACTTCAGCTCTATCTCTTTATCTCTGGAACTTTGACTCTGTACTATGAGGATGCTAGGAGCATAGGAGCATAGATTTAGAACCAGAATGGAAGTTAGACATCATCTAGTTCCAATTCTTTGTTTTATAGGGAGGGAAACTGAGGCCCAAGGAGATAAAATGACTTACCTAAAGTCACATAGGTAGAAAGGAGCAGAGCTAGGTTTTGGTCCAAGGTGCTGTGACTCTAAATGTAGTACTCTTAGCACCATGCAGCTAGCATCCACACTTTGGCCTTCCTCATCCAGCTTTGCATTTACAAAACAAAACCATTTTCAGACCCTGAACGTGTTGGACAGGAGGCATGAGGGAAGTACAGCCATTTGTCTAGTGGGTTCTTACAAGCTTTTCCCAGTTTGGGCATCTCATCTTCTTTCAAATGCCTACCTTTGGCATAATGGCCTCTATAAATTCCAGAAAGTCACTTCCTCCATGGTTTTTTCCAATTATATCGATAGCCAGGAAGATAATTATGCGTCATGCCTCCTTAATGAAGAAACGTTTGATTCAATTTTATGTGGGCTAATACTACATGAGTTTGCTACATAGAGATTTTTTTTAATGGAACTAAGCAATGCCATCCAAATAGTGTTGGAGCCTACAGGGGTCAGGGTGGGGAATACTTCCTCTGGAGCATTATCTCATGATGTTTTTTTCTCTCCCTTTCTTCCCTTCCCCATCCCACAAAAAAAAAAAAAAATAACCAGCAAAAAGGGAGGAAGAGCACTTCCCTGGAAATCATGCAGCCGCCAAGTGATATGCTGTTACCATGGCCCCAGCATCAGAATTCCAATGGTCTACGAAGACAAAAGAGGGACTGGGTCATTCCACCAATCAATGTCCCAGAAAATTCCCGCGGTCCTTTCCCACAGCAGCTTGTAAGGGTAAGTGGATTTAAAAAACACATATTCTGAGAGAAACTCTCCTGGCAGTTCTGGCCAGGAGGTGGAGAGTTCCCTTCCAAATGTTGACTTCCTTTTCAAGCTGCAAGGCGGCACTGATCTGCTTGAACCTGGGTAGAGTGTCTGTGCTTCCTCTCTTCGAAGACATATTTTTCATCTTTCCAAAAAGTTTGTGTCATATGAAGCAGGGGAAAAATCAAAGTGGGATATGATATTCTTCAAGCCTTCCTGATCAATTAAGCCATGATCATTCCCTCAGGCATCTCTAAACCATTTTAATGGCTTATGGAAAAAGTTGCTGGTAAAGCTAGGACTAGGGTCCATGACCCGTATGTGGCCACCCCATAATCTTGCCACTTATAGTCATCTTCCATGAAAAATAAGCTGTTGTTCATTAATATTTGTTATACCTTTGCAGTTGTGAGATTATATCACACAAAGAAATGAAGCAAGTGTGGAGTGTTGTTACTGATGGTTATTTGAATAAAATAGAAGTGTTTGCTGTGGGTGTTCTTCATGCCACCCACCATGATGTGTCTTTTCTTGGGGGAAATAATTCATTTTACATATTTATTTTTCAATAACCAAGTCCATTGACTAGCATTTTCTTCCTCCCTTTGAAGAAAATTGCATTCTAATCTCAACAATAATTTGACAAAATGATGGTGAAGATCCCATTAAGTAATTTCCATCCATTGTGACAAAACTCACCTCACTCTTCTTGAAACTATGATGCCATGAATTATTATTAATGTGTCATTTCTTTCTCTGTGATGATTAGACACTTCTTTGTTTCTTATTCCTTTCAACTCGGAAGGATGAAGTTGGGTGTTTAAAATTCAAAGATGGACTTGAAGAAAAAGGAATAACTTTTGAATATGTTCCTTCTTCTTCCAGAAAATGTTATCTATATATCTATATAAAATGTTTTCTATATGTATATATCTAACTTCCTATCCAATAGAATTATTCTGCAGTGTTACCCAAAAATTTTAAAATTAATTGAGCTAGAAAGGAGGATTGCCACTAATATAGTGCTAAGCAATGTCAAAAGTTTCTGTAATTAAATGCAATGCTGTGCTTTCAGTATAAAAGTTATACTACTGACCCTGTAGGACTCTGAATTTTCTCCTGGCTAGCTCTTGACAATGTTGCGTATGTTCTCTGGCCGTATTATACCCTTTATCTCCCAACCATAACTTTAGACTGTCCCTAGGACGATATTTAATTGTCAATATTTAAAGACGATAGCTATGATATTTAAATTTTCCTTAGCTTGCCTAGAACTAGGTTTCAATAACATCTCCACACCACGCTGCTGGGCAATTCTACCCTGCCCCCTTCACCAGTGCCGGTTATCTTCCCCCATTATAAGGTAAGCTCCTTGAGGACAGGAGCTGCTTGTTTGCTTGTATTTGGGTCCCTAGTGCTTAGTACATTGCCTCACACTTAAATGCTTAGTAAATGTTCTTTACATCTTTGTCAGTCAATCAATCAATCTACCAATCTATCTATCTATCTATAACCAAGGAATCAGAGAACCTGGGTTCAAATCCTGCCTTTGACATCTAATGCTAATATAAATACTACTACTACTAATAATAATAACAATAATAATAACTAGCATTTACATGACCCCTATGTGCTAGAATTAATCTAATTTGATCCTCACAACAACCTTGGAAGATAAGTGGCCTTATCTTCATTTTACAGTTGAAAAAACTGAGGCAAACAGTAGTCAAGTGATGAGTCACCCAAACTAGTACAAAGTCTCCCAACTAGTGTCTGAGGCTATATTTGAACTTCGGTCATCCTGACTCCAAGTCCAGTTTTCTATCCATTGGACCACCTTGCTGTTATTTGTATGATTTTGTTCAAAGTCTCTTAATCTCCCTGGGTCTCAGTTTCTCTTGTGTAAAATGTGGGAATTGGCCTAAATGACATGATAGATTCCTTTAATTTTGAAATCTATGATCCATCCACAACCATCTTGCCCTATTCCCAAGTTTAATAGCTGACTGTAGTTAAGGATGCTGTTGTAGAAAGGGACTTTTTCCCCTTTTAGAATCGTAATAGACTGCACAGAAACAGATCATACGTAAGTAATTTTTGTTTACAAACCAGGCCTCTAGGATAGAGAGGGGTGTGTGTGTGTGTGTGTGTGTGTGTGTGTGTGTGTAGCTTCTACTTTAACTAATTGTCTTTTCTAACTAGGTGCCAAATCTTTGTCCACAGCTGAAAGTGAGTTCTATTGTTAACAACAAACATTTATTAAGTATCTACTAGGTGCCCAGGCAATGTGCTAGGTACTATGGAGGCAAAGATAGAAGTGTAACATCCCAGTCCTCTGGGAGCTTGGGTTAGAACATAGGAGAAACAACATGTATACACACAAGTGAATATAAGCAAAGACAAAGCAATGGTGGAGGGAATCAATAAAGGCCTCATGTAAGAGGCGTCTCTCTCCATCACAGTGAGCTAAGCTTTCTAAATTTTGGCACTTTAGGAAAAATCTGAGTTATTCAGCTCTAGTTATGGCTCTGCCTGCAGGGATCAAAGCTTTTAGCCATGTTCTAATCAGCTGGGTTGACCAACCTTAGCCATTATCTGAGACAGCTAGAAAAAAAAATAGGTAGAGTGCTGTATCTAGAAACAGGAAGACCTGAGTTCAAATGTGACTTCAGACACTAGCTGTGTGACCCTGGGCAAGTCCGCTTCATTTTCTTCATCTGTAAGATGGGGATAGTAAACAACCCTGCCAGGGTTGTTGTGAGGATACAAATGAGCTATTTGCAAAACTCGTTGCAAACCTTAAAGCACTATTTGAATACTATTGTGATGATGATGATGATGATGATGTTGAAGGACTGCAGTTCCTTTTCCTCCAAGTAGCACCTTTTACCATCCTGCCAAACACTGAGAGAGTCAACTTAATGGATGAAAAGTGAGAAGGAAAACTCTTGGACAAAACCCCACCCTATACTTTGTAAAGCTATAGGTTCATATGCTTCAATATTATTTTATTCTTTAGCTATTGCTGGCTTCTAGCTGACTAGGGAGAAAAATATAGGTTGTTGTTTTCTGACCCATTCTCCTCTCTCAGGGGGAGGGTGGGAAAAAAACAGGACAACGAAATCCTAGCCTGACTTCACATTAAAATATTGATGAAACTCAGCCTTGCATTGTAGTCTAAGGCTCCTAAATAGGCAATGTATTCAGCTTTCTGTCGAAATTTAGCCATTGCTAAATCTTTCCATAGTTTGAGATCATCAAACACTTAAATTTCTGTTTTGGGAAGTAATACACGATTTTATTATTTATCCGATCAGATGCAGAAAAAAAATTTAACCCAAATCTTATGAACTATTGACAAGTGACAGTAAGAACCTTAGAAGCTGTCCATTCATTGTTGAGCTTCATTTCTTTATGCTGTCTGTGTTGTTGACATTTCCAAACAGAAAACACAGATGAGGAGGGGGTTGCGGGAGTGAAGTATTTTCCCAGAAGTCAGTAATGGCGTGTGGATGAGGAATCAGAGCGGGCTGTTACAGCACTGCACAATGCTGAGAAACTATTGTCATAAGCGTGAAACTTCCCTGTGGTGGCTGGTTCTTCTTGTATTTTTATGTTTTATGATGTTTTTCTGGTTCAGAGCCCATTTGTCATCTGCAGCCTTGGGTCCCCTGACCCACACGATTGCCCCTATAGTGAGGGCTGCCTGAATGTCGGCATGAGCGAAGGGTTTATCAGTTACATTTTACTCTGTAAAGGGCTGTGAGAAGAGGAGGAGGGACATGAATGAAGGTTTTCAAAGATGAGAACCGTGTGCTTATTTCCATCCTCCTAATCTTCACACTGTCCCAGGGGTGCTTGGCTGCCTGATAGATCTAGGTGAACAGTTCTGATCTGATTTCAAACACTCCTGAATGTTGGGTGGTGGATTGGGCTCCCATCTGTTCCTGCACTAGAGTAGGCACAGCCATGAAAGTGGACAGCATTGAACTGAGTCGTGGAGAAAATTTGTGCCAGTGAATTTCTGGTGAATGGGCTTCTAAAGCTTTTCAAACCAATAATAGTACAGGCATCCTGATCTTTCCTTGTCTCCTTTCATCGGAAGACTAGTCTCTGAGGCCGGGGCTCTTTTGGATATGTCTTTAGTAAATGGGAATTGGCATACCCATTATGGCTTCCATTGAAGAAGATTTGTATTTTTGAAATGAAACTCAGAGTTGCATCAAAACACAGGGGTATTTCTGTGTACCCATACATTCCTTTTGTGTCTCTTTTTTCCAATTCTGCTTACGTCTCCATGGACTCCTATTCTGTATGGTGCACAGCAAGTCTGTATGGGGAGCAGGAGAAGAGCAACAAGGAAGGGGCTTATGCTCTCCCATTCCTGCTTTTCATTGTAAAAAAAAAAGGGGGGGGAACATTTCATTTCATGGAAGCTGATTAGTTACTTGTCAGTATTTGGGGCAAGGTTGTTCCTGAATGAAGTCTAAATCATAGCAAATGTGAATGCATCTTAATGGGAATGTGGAGCTGAAAACAGCCCTACGAAGTTCAGCTGGGATCAGCTGCAATTCTCTGCTCGTTAAAGCATTTCATTCTGATAAAATATGTTAAATGAAAAATGGAGGGGAGGAGAACAGAATCTTCTTCCCCAAACCTTGGTTAATTACAGGCTTTTTCCTTCTAAGGAGCATCATGGCTGCTCATATACAGTTGCTCAGCCATGCATAGGGAATGGAAAACACATTTGCAATGAAGATGGCATCCAAAACAGAAAATAACCACTCAGTTTAGGCTGGTTTCTGAGCAGCCAGCCAGAACAGTGGCACAAAATGTTTAAGCTTTTTTTTTTTTTTTTTTCGCATTTGTGCTTCTGAAATTAAACTGGGATCTAAACCGCATGGGAAATGGGAAGAAAATAAGTAAAAATTGAATCCTGGAAATGCCACTGAGAATTCCCAGTTCATTCA